AATGTCAAGATTTAGTAAACGACGGTTTATGGCGCTGAGACGCATAGAAGAATTTTTTGCTGATATTGCACTATTTCATTTGTATATGTATGCTAATGATGACCTTCATGCATCAAGTAGCAAAGCATATTAGTGATCTAAAGTCTTAAGGCATGAATAAAATTAATTGGATATGCAATAACAACTTAACAACTTCATTGAATTGCAGCTTTAAAAAAGAATAAAAATTGACTTTACCTTTGATTCTGTTAACGAGATCAGAATTCCTTTTTACAACATTCAACAAGTCATAATAGAGACGTTGAAACAGTAGGTGTCAGTCACTGTCGTCTTCGTTGTACTTCATCATTATGACGAAAACAAGCTGCAGCGATACTTGCAATCACGATACCTCTCGTTCAAGAATCGTTTACAATTAGGAACCATGGTCTTCATGCCTTCGAAAGTGAAGAAAAAGAAATCCGGTCGACTTCATTCTTTAAACTTCGAATTCGAATCTCAGTATAACGAAAACCTTTCGTTACTAACCGCTGATTCAGTTTTATAGCATTTGGTGCAATCATGCTAGATTTTATCTGGCTTACGATTGTACTCTCTGGAAGATGAATTACATAGTTGCAACTTGCGTTTTATCTCGACTAATCGGATACCTGTGTAAGTCAGAAAAATACGCATCCCGAAAAAAGCAAATGAAAAAGAAATAAATTCACTTCCGCCTTCTATTCAAAGATTTCTTTTACTTTCAGAAGTCATTCGCTGCCGCGTTCTTGACTTCTCGGTAAGATTTGGTGATGATTGCAATATTGATGCAAAATTTCCAAAATTTTGTGATTGAAGCCTCTGTTTTAGATGCACAAACTTAGGAGATTTCGCTAAGTAATTGAATCTAAATCTTAGGCACATTAAAAACCGCATTATTATAAGTTTCACCTAAATTCACTTAAATTTTTTTCAAAAATTCTGACCTAAAAATTGGCACCAGATATATTCTGTTTCTTTTGTACGTTGTTTGAGCATCATCCAATTAGTTAACTATGGCTTTGCTCATATCCTAGTTCATAATTCATCTGTTTTGTTGAAAAGTCGAATTCCACGGTGATTTTTTCCAGCAGTAAACTTTCAACATTTATTTTTAACCTCTTATCGGGGCAAAAACACATAATACATAAGTATTCAGGAATAGTGTACCTGCAAATCCCTATCTGCAGCCGCGACGACAGACAACGAGCGGCATGAAGCTCTGAAAGAGGTAATGAGTTTGAGAACTTATGTGATGGAATCCTTAAGAGATTGTTGTCGTTAGGCAGGTGATTGTTATCGTGGCAGCGCCAATTTTCGAGGCACACAAGCAAAATTGCTTACGGTGCGACTATCGTTGTGCGGCCGCGGCGGATCGTGACGTCTGTTGGTAGGCGGTGCTTGAGGCGCAGTTCGATGGTATGTTAGGCATTTGGCGTTGAACTTGCGTCCGGTCCACTGCACCCTCATCATCGTAGTCTGCTCCAGCAGCAGCGTTGCGCTGTAGCAACTCTGGCGCGAAGAACTACCTCATCTGGAGAGTCAGCAGCCCGTCATTGGTCCGTTCATCGACCAGACTCTACGGCGACCACAGCCACAGTTAAAGCTGTTGTAGTCGACGGAGCAGTAGCCAGGGACCTCAGTCGTGCTGCTGTCGTTGGGCCTTATACGGCGACGGTTCTGTCGTTATACGCGGGACTCTTTTTCTGCCTGCTCTTTTGCTCCTCGTTCTCCTCGTAGCCCTCATTCTCCACGTCCAGTTCCATCGACGACAACCGTTTTACAACACATGGCGTCGCAAGATACCAGCTATCACAATGGCGGGCAACTCAGACAACACTGCAGCTCGTCTGAAAGCAGTCTCCGATCTTCCAGAGAACACCTCATTCAGAATTTGGTATGCAAATGAACTTTCAACCCACTTTTTTGAGACTTCTTTTCCGCTCGACATTTTATTCTCTTCAACATCTTGTTTTTATCGAGTATTTGTTTTAATGTTGCGTTACGTCACGGACATGTCTATCGCTCAAACGGGTTTTTATCAAGGAGGCATCCCGTTGTCATTTAGCAGAATTATGGTTGAACCACATGATCGGTTTCGCTACCATTTCGTTTGAATTATTATTATAACAAGAGCTTCGATTACGCATTGCCATCCATGTCGAGTCTAATGCATTGGGGTTCTTGGGGGAAGGGGGGAGCAGGGAAGCAAGTACTGCTTCCCACTTTAGATGGCTAATCGTATGCAATGCCTCATGGATGAGTTTTAGTGACTTCCCAGAAGGTTTGGCTTTCGACCCGTTCAAAAACGTCTTTCCTTCGCACTTTGTCTCTTGAGAACAGAATTTGGTCTTTTCTTAGTTTCTACTTTTTTCTTTCTTCACAGCGGATAAATATCCTGTCTGTGTCATTGACTGGTAAAACTAATGGGTAGTAATAATAGATGCAAAAAAGTGATGTAACGTTTGCTTATAATCCTGTCTGACGACTTATATGAATCATCTTTTACATAAGTATTGGTGTAAACCAAGTCTTGTTAACGTTAAAACTAAGCTCATAGTAACGACAGGATCATCTTTCTGTTTCAAATCGGTCAGTTCGTAGCATAAAGCATTTCTTACAAATGGTTACTCTTCTCTTTTTAAAGCAAATGGGCAGATGGCGTAGATGCAGACCAGAAGACGATTTCTACAGAGATCTCTCTTGGTTCACTTTCACTGATGAGTGAACATAAATGCCTATATGGCTACGAACCAGATGGCTGAATTATTCAACCAATGTTGCATTGCCGAACCTTAGAATCCAGCTCATGCAGTTTATCTGATTTT